CCCCGTTCCCTCCCCCGCCAGCCCCATTTCCAGAGACCGGATTTCACCTCTACTCTCTCGTTCAGCGCCCAAGTTTATTCCGGGAGGAATAAAACATAAAAGGTGGCAATAAATCCCAGAAAAGGAGGGGAATGTTTGTAACTCAAAATTGAAATGGGGGGACTTTGGTGCTCTCCGAGCTTGGGGTTTTGGGGGGGGGGCTGTTTTGCAGAGGTTTCATGACCCCAACTAGGAAACATCATCAGCACTGATGAAGTTACCTAGTTTTGGGTCATGAAACGTCTGCAGGAAAACCACCCAGCTCAGAGGGCACCAAAGGACCCCCTCAAACCCAGAAATAAAACGGTACGAGATACCTAGAAACCGCCTTTTACGCCTTTGGCTCTCCGTCTAGCCTTGCTCCAGCTTGGGGCACCAGCTTCTCCCACCCCCCACCCCCAGCCCACTTGCGTCCCCCGCCGCGCAAGTCCCCTTCCTTTTTTCCCCCCACCTATATTCCCCATGCGCCTTTCTTTACGCAACTGTCCCAAGCGCAACTACGCCTCCCGACCCCCGTTTCCAAACTACCCAGGTTTTTTCCTTGGCGTCCAGACGCGTCTCCTGCACGAAGGGATTGAGCACCAAGGGGGAGGCCAACGACTGCTGCCTGGGCAGGAGGAAGAGCCGCTGTTGCTGCTGGGGCTCCGGCGGGCTGGGCGAAGGCAGCTTGGCCATGTCGCCGGCTGGCAAGGCGCTTTCCAGCGTCGCCACCGCCGCCGCTTCTGTGCAAAACGGCATCGGGCGTTGAGAAGAAGAAGAAGAAAAAGGCGCAGGCGGTGCCGGCAGCGCCCCTCCCGGGCTCCAAGGCGCTTGCGCGGCACACCTCGACCTGACCCTGGTCCGGGGGGGGGGAAGGTAAAGGTGGAACGAGGAAAGCCTCCCCCCCTCCCAACTCCGTTTCTCTGAGAGTCTTCCTTGCAGGATCGCTAACTTCGTCCTGGTGGGAAGGCAGCGGAGGGAGAAAGCCTAGGTATGGGCTGTAGAAAAAAAAAACTGTAACTCTTGGCTGCCCGCTCTTTTTTTTTTATTAAAAAATTTTTATTATTTTTTTTCAAATAAAATATGAACAAATAATACAAATATGGTGCATTTCATTAGAAAAACAAACACATAAAAAACCTATTCCGAAATAATCGGCGTTCCCCCCCCCCCTGCATCCACACTCCCTCCACCTTCCTACCTACTTCCCTCTTCCTTCCTCCCCCTCTTGACCACTACCTCTCCTCTTTCCTCCTTCCCAACTATCCTACACATCCCATCACCTTCTTTTCCACCACCTCGGATGCAATGGCTGCCCGCTCTTGACTCAGTTCTGCAAGGGGAACAAGGTAGGAAATTGTAGGAAAATGGTAGGCATTCTGTAGGGGAAAATGTTTGGAAACCAGACGAGGAAGCCTCTAAACCAGTGATGGCGAAACTTTGAGACACCGAGTGCCCAAACTGCAACCCAAAACCCACTTATTTATCGCCCGGGTGCCAGGTGGGCATGGCCTACTGGATGGGCATGGCTGTGGTGGTCATGGCAGACTGGATGGGTGTGGGCAAGGTGGGCGTGATCACCTCGATGTTGCTCGTGGGGAGGGACGCCTGTGGGGGCCGGGCAGGGTTGGGGGAGATCCAGGGGGTCTCTGGCAGGTGGGGCTGTGGGCAGGAGGCTCATCCTGGGGGGGTGACGCAGGGCAGGCCAGGGCAGGGGTGCTATTGTCACAGGGAAAGGTGAGGCAGGGGCTGGAGTGGCTGCTGCCTGACACCATCGGCCCCTGCACACAGAGGCCAGCGAGCGCATGGGTGCTGGGATGCATCCGGCCATGTGGGACCTCCGCGAGTTAGCGGGTGACTGGTTGAAGAGGGACGGTTGCCATCTCCGGGGCATGGCGCGTGTGCCCACAGAGAGGGCTCTGAGTGCCGCCTCTGGCACGCGTGCCATAGGTTTGCCACCACTGCTCTAAACGCTCTTGAGAAGTTTGGCTTTTGCCAAAACACTTGACCCAAAGTCTATGGAGATTCTCAGTCATCCAGGTCATGGTTGTCTCAAAGGTGCTTTTTTTTTCCTTTCAAAAGGCAACTGGACTATGTTTTTTAAATTCTTCAAGTAAAAACATAGCCCAGTTACCTTTTGAGGAAAAAAAAAACACCTTTGAGTCAGTCTTGACCCAAAGGAGAAGACCTCCAAAGTCCCTTCCAGCACTGTTATTCTGTGATTCTGTTATTTTCATGTTGAAGCATCTGCACCTGCCCTGTTTGTTGGTTCCTTCTTTAGGATCTGCAAACAAGAATGTTAGATATATTTTAGTGCATACTTAAAGAATACAGAATAACAGAGTTGGAAGGGACCTTGGAGGTCATCTAGTCCAACCCCCTGCTCAGGCAGGAAACCCTATACCATTTCAGACAAATGGCTGTCCAGTCTCTTCTTAAAAACTTCCAGTGTTGGAGCATTCACCGCTTCTGGGGGCAGGTTGTTCCACTGGTTAATTGTTCTAACTGTCAGGAAGTTTCTCCTTAGTTCTAGGTTGCTTCTT